AGGTTGCGTAGGAGTTTAATTGACACGCTCGATACCAACGGATGGGAGGGCGAGTGGGCGGGGGGGGGGCAGTCAGCGCACACTCGTATTTCCAGACGGGCCGGAGCCCTGGCCAAGTCAAGTCATTTCTTTGTCAGAGAAGGGCTCAGATGGGCGTGCCAGCGTTGCCAGGAGCTTGTCACCAGCACGGCCCTCCTTGCCGCTGCCGCCAGAATCTTTCCAGGCGCCCGCGTCGGAACCACCAGTTTCCCGACTGCGGCAGGTGTAGTTGTAAGACAGCTTTCAGGCACTGTGTGGATGTGTCACGTGTCTGCCCACCCCTCTCACCAGCCTTGGGCGTGGGGTTCACATAAACTCCGATGTCGTGTGAATTGTGACCCAACGGCCACCACCGACCCTCGGCACTTAGAGCGTCCTCGCCCCCCGCTGGCAGCCGTAAGGGGCAAGAGAACCTCTCGAGAATCGCGAAGGTCAAGTTCCCCTCTTACAAAGTGGTGAGGGCGGCGAAATCCGTCAGGGAATGCATCCCTGCGGGCTTTGCAGCTGAGGGACAGGGTCCCCCTTGAATCCTGAATCCGGAATCATCCTTATCCGTTCCCTTCTCCTTGTCATCTTTCTCCTCCCCCTCCTGCTCCGCCTCCTATTCCTCCTGCTCCTCCTCCTCCTCCTCCTCCTCCTCTTCCTCCTCCTCCTCACCCTCCTCCTCCTCATCATCCTCCTCCTCATCCTCCAGCTGCTCCTCCTACTCCTACTCCTTCTTAGGCAAGCCGCGGAGACAAAGCTCGTAGCGTCAATCCTCCTCCTCCACCTCCTCCTCCTCCTCCTCCTCCTCCTCCTCCTCCTCCTCCTCCTCCTCCTCCTCCTCCTCCTCCTCCTCCTCTTTCTTGCTCCTCCTGCTCCTCCGTCCCCTCGACCTCGCCTCATTACGGGAGTGGCAGCATTTTTCCTAGGGGAGGCGGGACCTGTCGCGGGCCCACGGGGCGGCCAGTCTCAGCCGCCCCGCGATGCAGGTAGGTCCTCTCTGAAGGCCCCCCCTTGCAGTGGAGGCCCATGCCAGGAAACGCCCCGCTTGCCTCCAGGGTGCCCTGGGTTTCTTGTGCGTCGATGGTGTTGCGATGGAAAGCGCGACGCCCCACGCAAAAAATCCATGGACGCCCTGGGGTCTCAGGGCTGTGTTTCGTGTGGAAGGTTTCTTGAAACTGGCCTCCACAGTAGGGTTTGTGGCTGGCCACAGAACCTCTCTGGTTTCTCTCCCTTCCCTGGCATGCGACCCTCGACCAAGTCGCGCAGGAGATGCCCGACTCCTCCTCCTTCTACGCTGCACGGACTATGTGTCTCCTCCTCATCCTCTGGTTGGTGGGCATTTCATTATATCGTCGGCTTCTGGCCTTTACAGACCGTGTGTGTGGTGCTTTGAGGCTCTTACGGCACGCAGTGCGCTGGCTATTTCAACGTTGCGTCGCAGGCGCGCATGCTGTATACGTCGAGGCTGGTGTTCTCTCGTAGGTGGGCGGTGCACCATCTCGTATTCGAGTGTTTGCTCTGGTCTGGCAGCCTCCCTTTTATCGCCCTTGCCGCGGCCCGTCCCAGTCTGCAGGGCGATGAGGCACGGGGGCTCCCTGCGTCGTGCCCATCGAAGCCCCCTCCCCTGCAGCCTGGGCGCACGTCAATGGTGCGCTGGTCGCGTCGATTCTCTGATTTCCAGGCATGCTTCGGGCTCCTCGTTAGTATTTCAGCGATGGTTGGATGAATTGGGTGCGGCATCGCTTGCGTCCGCATGCCCTGGTTTGCATCAGCAGATGGTTAGAGTGCACAGGTTCAGCCAAAGCGTTAATGCACTAGCTCGCTTTCGCGGGCGAGGCATCGTTGTGCCGGAGTGTCTATGCATTACCTCGTTGTTTTAGTGGCGGTTGCCAATACATGTTGGTGTATATTGCTTGGGTTTGCTGTAATTGTGTGCGTGCAGTTGGCGGCGTGTTTGGATTGAATGCTTCAGTTTCGTAGCGTTCACCCTCAATCGACGGCGTACATTTTCATTCACAAGTTCTTCGTGGCTAGGGTCCTTCAGCGCGACAGTCCTAGCACGTTGTATGACGGACCCGAGGGAAGGGCCCGGTGGATCGAGCAGCGTTGGTGTCGGCCGCGTAGACATTGCAGGTGGAGTTCAGTCGCGGGCGACTGCATTTACTCCGCTTGCCGCGCAGGCGTGCCAAACGGTGTGAATTACCGTCGGGATGCGTTTCTCCGGATGCGTGCAGAGGTGGTCCGACAGAATCGGCTTATGTCAATCCCTGGGTAATCCTCCGCCGCCGCCGCCTCCTCGGGTAATCCTTGGGTAATCCTTGGGTGTAATATTTGGGTAATCCTTGGGTGATCCTTGGGTAATCTTTGGGTGATCCTCGGGTAATCATTGGGTAATCCGCTCGGCGGACTCGTGGGACCATCTGACCCCCCTCCTTGGGGAGCCCTGGACTGGACTTCCTCCCCCTGCTCAAGGAAGAGGGGGAGAAGAAGAGGAGGAGTTGAAGCACGTGCGAGGAGGAGGAGGAGGAAGACTGCGTGCGGACTGGACTTTCTCCTCCTCCTCCTCCTCCCCCTCCCCCTCCCCCTCCTCCTCATCCTCCTCCTCCTCCTCCTCTTCCTCCTCCTCCTCCTCCTCCTCCTCCTCCTCCTCCTCCTCTTCCTCCTGTTCAAGTGGAGGGGGAGAAGAGAGGAGGAGGGTGAGGAGGAGGAGGAGGCGGAGGAGGAGGAGGAGGCTACTGCGAGTGCGCCTCGGCGAGCCCTCCCCGACCAGACAGCAGCGATGCCTCAGGCGGCTCCCTCCGATCCTCTGAGACTCTGCACTCGACGGCCGAGCCACTGCCCCGCCCTCCCGTCAGCGCGAGCCAAGCGCTGCGACCCAGTCCTCATCCGCCCGGCGAAGCCCAGCTCAGGAACTCAAGCTGCAGTGCTCGCCCTTGGGGGTAGTGGGTCCTGCTGGAGACAAACGGGTCCTCTGAGGTTTCTCGCCGTTTTCGGGGTCTCGGGGCCTCCACGGGCCCCGGGACTGGCAGAAAACGGTTCGGGATGAGGAGTCGTTCCCGGGGGAAGGCCCCTCGGGTGCAGGACCCGTTTCTACCAGGACCCGTTCCCCCCGTGCTAAGATGCAGTCTCGAGTCAGAGGTTGGCGCAGGAGGGCAGTCCCGCCAGCGCTGTGGCAGGGGGGGCCTTTGCTCCCGCGGCCTCGCAGACGAATCGGTTCGCGGATCGCCCTTCGCCCCAGAGAGGCGCCGCCAGACGGGCACGATCTCCGCTCGAGGGCGCGATCGGCACCTCAATATTTCCAGTTCTTATTAGGTAGGTGTGGCCAGAATGAGGAGGTCAGGAACTTTGGCTTAGCAAGTCGCGCCGCCGGTTCTAGCCAACCAGGCCTCGGCGCGACACGCTGTCCACGTCCCCCTTCCAGAGTGACAACGCCCCGGGCTTTTCCTAGCCCCGCGGGGCGGGGCAACACGCCATGCGCTTGCAAGGCGTAGCGTGTCGCCGAGACCGCCGCCGCGACACGCTATGCAAAGGTTCCTGACCGTACAGTCGGGGCCCTGAAGAAGGAACCCTTTTGGTTGGCGTCCCTTAAGTGTTTCACAGCTTGCCTCAGGTTTTCCTTATGTCTTCGATCGGAGATCGAAGTTGAACTTATGGAAACAAGGGGCCTCGTTCCTTATTTAGGGTTCCTTAGGTCAACGCCCCGACTGTAGTAGGGATGCTCTCGCTTGGTCAGCCGCCAGGGCTGCTGCTGAGCCCCCCGTGGCCTACACGCGCTCCGATTGCACGCCCCCCAGAGGGGTCCTCCTTGGGAGGCCCCCCACAGCCACGGCAGAGGAGAAGGCAAGCCAGCGTTCGGGCGCCCGCGACAGTCGCCGCGTGGACCCTCCGGCGCCCTGCAGCCCGAAGCGCGAAGCTCGCGCAATCTGCTCCGAGCCGTGAGGCAGGTCGAGCCCTCGAGCCGCGGCGACGGGCTCCTGCACGGCACTAACTGGGGCTTGCGGCGGGCGCCGCATCGAGCGCTGTGGTCTGCTTCGTGGCGTGGCCCCGCGGTGACTCGGGGACGCCGAGGCGTGCATCGGGCCCTGGGACGTCCGCGGCGGCAGCCCGTGCGCCTGGCCGCCCCAGCGCCAGTGCCTCCTCCGCAGCGGCGCGGAGCGCACGCTAGAGGGCCACGCCCCCGTCGCTGAGGCCACGCGGCTTGGACTCCTCCTCCTCCTCCTCCTCCTCCTCCTCCTCCTCCTCCTCCTCCTCCTCCTCCTCCTCCTGCTCCAGTCCGCCGACGAGGTGCCGCTAGCAGCCGGGGGTTGCAGAGAGGATGGGGGCACCTCGCGAGTTCGCACGGCAGCAGCAGGATGCAGTCCTCCTCGGCGTCCCCGATTCCTTGGCCCTGCGATGCCCCAAGGACAGGCGGCCCGCAGGATGCCGAGATGAGGCGTTCATTCCAATCCACTGAGCAGATGGCCCGCATGATAGGGATGGGCAGCCTTCTCAAGGGTACCCTTGCATCCTTGCCTCCTCGGTCAATCCTTGGCCACTTCAGTTGGCCGCGCCCTGCTCGAAAAGCTTCGAAATGGGCGTCCACGGCCCTTGCATCCTTATCGCGCATCTTTATGATACGGGTTTGCTGTATCAGGCGCGTGCCAAGTGCGGAAAATCGCGGCGGGCCAGGAGCCAGCGGTGAAGAAGCACCTTTTCAGCAGTCCGTTCGTGGGGCGGCGGACCGATCGGACAAGCTCCCGGGGATCCGTGGGAGGGAACATCTTGGCCGGACTGGTCTCGAGCAGTGGCGAAGCGTCCTGGCGTGCCTATGGGCCCACCAAAGAATGTTCTAAGAACTTGTTGTGGTTCGCGCGAAATGTTCTTGGAACTTTTCTGGCTGGGACTGCCCTGTTTTAACACATCGGGTTCATGTTCTACGAACATGTTTTACACACTGGCTCGGGATACGCATCCTGCGCAATCGGACAATGCCCAGACCCAGAGGACGGCGAGGTGGAGAACATGGTCGCCGCCGTGGACCTCAACGGCGACAGCGTCGTCAGCTACGAGGCCCCCTCCCCGCCGCCGCCGCTCCGCACGCCCTCCGCACGCGCACGGCGCGCCCGAGGCTCGGCGGCGCAGCTCTGGGGTTAAGTCGGCAAAAAATAGTCTGGGGACGATGTCTGGCCTATGTTTGGATACGTCTTGAGTCTTTGCATGCTTCGCCCCGAAATCCGCCTGCAGGAGGGCATGCCAGACACAACTCTGGGGATCCAGGCCGACGCCCAGACGACGTCTTCGGGCACGCATGGGGGCCCCGCAGAGGTTCCGTTGGGGTGCTCCTCGCGGCCCCGGGAGCCGGGGCCCGGCCCCGGAGGATGCCTTCTGGCCGGGGAGCCTCCGAGGGAAAAGCACGCGCCGGGGCCTCCGAGAAGGTCGTGTGCCCGGAGTGCTCTGCGCGGCTCCCCCGGGGGCCGGGGCCGAGCTCTGTGGAGGATGCGTTCGGGCCCGGGGGTCTCCAAACAAAAGAGTGTTTTCGGGGCCCGAAGGTCTGTTTGGGAGGGCGCTTCGCAATCCCCGGGGGGGGGGGTCGGAGCCGAGCCCATCCTCCGGGCCGGAGAACGCGCGTCGCAGCCTCGGGGGTCAGTGCCCCCTTCCCTCTGGCCCGGAGACACTCCCAGCCTGCTGTCCAATCCATGCCTCGGACCCCACACGTCTTCGTTTACTGGGGACTCCCACGCCCCCGAAAGCGGTCTGCAGGAAAGAAGCACTCCACCAAAAACTGCTCGAGCCCCGAGAAAAGTTGTTTTTTTGCTGCGTGAAGCCCCAAGCCTGAAGGCATGTCCAGGCATGGGCCCCTACCCTCTGGGGTCTGACAGGCATGCCAGACATTTTTTCGGGCCTCGGAGCAGTTTGTTCGGGAGGTCCCCGGGCCTGACAGCAGCCTCCGGGGCCGGGCCCCAGCCTCCAGGGCTGCGAAGAGCACCCCAGGAGAATGCTCTGGGCCCCGAAAGGTTGTCCGGCCAGGTCCCCAGGCCCGAAGGCAGCCTCGAGGGCTCGGCCCCGAGCCTTGGGGCTGCGGAAAGCTCCCAAAAACAACTCTTGGAGCCCTGAAAATTTGTCTGGGAGGTCCCCAGGCCACAAGCATTCTCCACGAGTCGTCCCCGACCCCGGGGCTGCAAAAAGCACCCAAAGAAAAACCGTTCGGGGCCCTGCGCTTTTGGGGGGCCTTCTTCTTTGGTTTTTCATCCACTGCTGCGGGAGTCGTCGTGGACCAACCCTCGAGGACGCTTCGGTGCTTCCGGACCTCACCTGCACGGTGCCCTGGGCAGTGTTCGGTTGATCGCAGTGTTCGGCGTGTGTTCCGGCTTTTCGCGCTTCTAATCTCTTGATCGGCTGTGTTCGTGTGATTTGTGTTCGGCCAGGTAAAGGATTCTGAACCTAATCACGCCAATCACTGTGATTTGTGCTCGGCCGCGTTCTAAGCATGGGATGTTCCCGAAGCTCTCCAGAAGTTTCTGGACGAGTGCTTTGCCGAGGGTACTGCATGGGGGGCGGGGGCCCGCACGGGTCGCTCACGGAGCGGGCGGGTCATCGAGCGGGGAGCATCTGCCGCGCAGGGCTGCAGCAGCGCAGGGTGGTGGAGCACTGGGAGGTGGGGTCCGTCAGGCAGGTGGGCGGCACGAGAGTGTCGGGACGGGCGAATTGGGAAAGGGGGGGTTACGGAATTTGCTGCATGCAGCTGGTTTCGGCCCCACCGTGGGGCCCATTCCTCGATACATAGTCGCCTCCGGCGCCCGGAGGCGGCGGGAAAATCAGCTACGCGAGCTGATTCTCAAACCCCCCCCTTTGCTATCCCCCCCCTTTCGCTCGACCCGAGACTGTGTGCGGAGGGAAAGGGGGCAGCAGGAGGAGGGCCGAGCGGCATCGCGGGGAGCGGGAGAGAGGGTCGAAGAAGCACAATACGTATGCACAAGTCGGAGCTCGCGCGGGGGATTGCGGGTCGCGCCCTGGGACCCTTGGGCAGCGCTTCTTGCGCGGCGCCGCAGGGAAGGGCGCCCGGCGCCGATCCAAGACACCCGCGGGACATGTGGAAGTTGATGCTCGTGCAGATGTGTGTGCTCTCTTACAGCAGCAGGGCGAGAAGATTTTCGGCAAGGGCAAGTGTTGTATCGTTTTGTGCTGGGGCTGTCAGGGGCGAGGTGTCCCGACGTGCTTGCGGATCTCCCCTTGCCCGCGTGCACCCCGGTTCTTCGGAGAGGAGTTTGAGCTCATGATGGTCGCTGCCGGCCGTGGCTCGGCTGCCGGGAGCAAAGCGGCAAGCGGCTTCGCCCACGTGGTGCACCGCCTCATCCGCATGCCAGAGATCGCGGCTCTCATCATTGCGGAGGCCACTGCATCGCTTGCTCGCCTGTTCTTGCTCCCGCCATGTTTGACAGCACACAAGTGTTGACGTTTCCCACAGGCGTCTGAGGTGCGTCTGTTTGCACATCTGCAGGTCTGAAGGCCGCTTTCTTGGCGTCACGTCTGGAAGATGTGCGGCACCAGGTGGAAGGAATGATGTATGGTTCTCCATCACGTACTTGAGGAGAATCTGCATGAGTTACGCGTGGACGTATCATTCATGGCTTGGTATTGGTTCTATGTTCGGTCGATGCAGTAGCTTTGATGGCCGTTCCTACCTCCAGGTCTTCACAATGTCGGAGTGCAGATATTTGTTGCGAAAGCAGACGGCAAGCCATAGTCGTGTCCAGTGGTGCACTCATTTTGGAAGCACTGTACGGCCTTGCTACGTGCACTATGCTCAACATCTCCACTGTTCTCACATGAGCGGTGTCCCCTCAGAGGCCAACAACTTCGTGCACAATTTCAGCCAGCAGCACCGTGATACCTTTGCTGGAGGGCTGGTTTTAATGCTGATAAGATGTGCATCACCCTATGCCACGCAGACATAACTTGTGCATCATAATGTATATGCACAACTTGCTGGATCAGGTTCAGTAGTTGGTCCGAGGCATCGGTAATGTCAGTTTGTGATTAACAAATGGCCAGACCCCCATCCCCCCTCGGGGGCTGATGAATAGACCCCGTGGGGCGCGAAACTTTTTTTTAATCACGCGCGCCAGGGGATCGTCGCTGGAACCGCAAAGGGGATCGTGCACCAACCTGCATGACAGCCTCAAAACGGTTGCCTTTGTCGTATAGAACTTGCTATATGGGGTCGTATACATCAGACGCGATTTGTTTCCCCTCTCAGGCGTCGTCGTCGTCGTCGTCGCCGCCGTCGCCGCCGTCGTCGTCGTCGTCGTCGTCGTCGTCGTCGTCGTGGTCGTCGTCGTCTTTTTCGTCGTCCTTGTCGTCGTCGTCTTCGTCGTCGTCGACTACGGCGGACCTGCGCAGCACCCCCCCTCCCCCCATAGGGCATCCGCAGTGCGTCGTCGTCGTCGGCGCCGTCGCCGCCCGCCGCCCGCCGTCCGTCGCCCTCGTCATCGTCCCGTCGTCGTCGTCGTCGTCGTCGGTGTCGTTGTCGTTGTCGCCGTCGTCGTCGTCGACGAGTACAGAGACCACGACAAAAAGGGGGGAAGGACTGCCCGCTTTGTTCGGGCCGGACGAAAGGCTGAGGACGGCAAGCGGGGGTTGCGAAACCTGCTGCTCGCAGCTGGTTGCGGTCGCCACGCCGAGGGGCCAGTCCTCGATGCATGGCCGCTTTCGGCGCCAGGGGGCGCTCGGAAAATCAGCAACGTGCGTTGCTAGAAAAATCCCCTATTGGCCACGCCCCCGTTTCCTCCAGCCCGCCTTGTTCGCGGGCCCGCGAGGCAGCTGGCGCCCCCCTGGCTGCGGCCAGAGCAAAGGAAGCGCATCGGTTCGACAAAAAAGAGCACGGAATGTGCGGGGGCGAGCAGTTCTTCTTCATTTCAAACAGGTGTCGGCCTGGCTTACGGTCCCTGCTTCTGCCGCCTTTGCCCCCCGCCCCACTCCCCTCCCCCAGTCTGCGCTGTCTGTCGCCATCTAGTTGGCGGCCTGGCGTCGGCAATAATCACCGGCGCCGCCCCGTTGATTTTCAATCTGGCGGGCGCCACCCCGCAATTCGCCCGAGCAAGGGAACGATTTGTTTTAACGCGCCCCCCTGCGGATTTGTTAATCACAAGCTGACATTGAAGTGAAGCTTGAACCGCAATTTTTTGCAAGCGTAGACCCCAGACAGTCAGGCATGACATTGCGAATGCGTTAGCTAGGTAGTGCAAGCTATGTGGTGCAGCATGTGTGGCGAAAGCTACGCGATGAAACCTATGGGGCGCAAGCTACGGGGTGTATTGTATGAAATGTGGTATAGGCGATGGAAGAGCGCCAATGGATGCCCCTCTAATTTAAAAGGGGAGGCGCTCGCACACACCCCGCCTTCATCCCCTATTTCAGGGCGTGTGGTTGTGATGTCGAACCTCCTCCCTTTTTCAAAGGGGGGGGGGGCGGGATTTCGGACCGCCGCCCCCCCCTTCTTTTGCGCCAGAGAGGGAGGAAGGGACTTCGGACCCGCCCCCCTCTACTCCGCCGCTAGGCGCGGGAGAGGGTTCAGGGGGCGCCTCTGCATGTTAGGCTTAGGGTGTTAGGCGTTGGACGCTAAGGTTTAGGGTTTAACGTTTAGGGCTACGGCTGAGAGCTTAGAGCTCAGGTTTTAGAGTTTAGGGCTTAGGGCGTGGAGCTTAGGACCTAGGGCTTCGGAGCTTACGAGTTAGAGCTTGGGCCATTGAGCTCAGGGTTTTGGAATCAGGGCCCCATGCTTAGAGCGTGTGTGTTTAGGGTTCAGGGTTTAGGGCTGAGAGCGTAGGGTTGATGGTTTAGGGTTTAGGCCTTAGGTCTTAGAGCGTAGGGCTTAAAGCTGAAACCAGAAGGCTTAGAGATCAGGGCTCAGAGCTTAGGTCTTAGAGTTTCGGACTTACGGTTTAGGGGTTAGGGTGTTAGGGCTTCGGGCTTATGGCGTACGGCGTAGGACTCAGCGCTTCGGCGTTAGGGCTTAGGGCGCAGAGCGTTTGACACATGGCGGTACGGTTCGTGTTGAGGTGTTGGGGCCAGGGTGTTAGGGTGAAGGCGGTGCGGTTTGGGTTAGGGAGGCCGGGTTCGGATTGGAGCGTTTGGGCTAGGTAGGGGTAGGGTGGTAGGGTTCGCGTGTTACGACATTAGGGATCAGGGCTTAGGATGTTGGGCGGTAAGGCTTAGGGTGCTCGGGTGAGGGCTGCAGGGTTCGGGTTAAGGAGTTAAGGTTCGGAGAAGTGGTGATACGGCTAGATGGAGGAAGGGTGCCAGGGTTAAGCTGTTCGGGCTAGGGCGGTGCAAGTTCGGGTTAGGGTGTTAGGGTTCGGGTGGTAGGGTTCGGGATCGGATGTTACGGTTAGGGCTGTAGGGGTAGGCCAAGGGCGGTAGGGTTAGGGTTAGGGTGTTGGGCTTAGGGGCTAAGGGTGCTAAGGTTCGGCTGTTTGGGTTAGGGTATTAGGTTTTGGGTGTTTGACTTAGGGTGTTGGGGGTTGGAATGTTGGGCTTAGGGTGCTTGGATTCAGGTGTTAGGGCCAGAGTGTTAGGGTTGGGATGTGGGTTTTTGTGGTACTTGTGCTATGTTTCTGGCGGTAGGGTTTTGGTTTTGGGCGGTAGGCCTCGGAGTGGGTTGATAGGCCTGGGTAGGGATAGGGTGTTCGCGTTCGGGTGTTAGGGTTCGGACGAGCTCGGGGTAGGGTAGAAAGGGTCAGGGCTTGGGGCTTGGGGCGGTAGGATTCGGGATAGTGCGTTAGGGGAAAAAGGTGGCAGGGTCATGGCGTTGGGGTGTTGGGGCTAGGGTGTTAAAATTAGAGTGCTAGTGCGTGTTAGGTTTAGGCTTCGGGCGGTAGGATTAAGGATCGGGTTGCGGAGCCACGGGGGCGGCGTGGCCAAAGGGGGGGGGGAGGCGGGGGGGGGAGAGCCGACTCTCGAGCGCAAGGGGGGCGGGGGGTCCAGGACGACGGATCAGGAGAGGGCGGGGGGGGGGGCGGCCAGGACGACGTACCGCAGAAAAGGGAGGAGGGTGGGGTCCGACCCTTTTTGGCAGGTGGATCTCTCAAGCTCTCCGCCGCCTCTGGCGGCGCGCGTTGCGAGCAGGAACACAGCAAAGCCACAGGAAAACGCGGCATTGACAGTGTAGCTCCGTACACTTGACAAATTTTCACGAGCAGGAACACAGCAAAGCCCCAGGAGAGCGAGGAATTGACAGTGCAGCTCAACATTGACACTGTAGTGGCCAGGGAGCCCCCGCGACATGTCCACGAGCGTTGCTCCACCCCGGCGGGTGTGGACAGAGGGCTCACAAACACCCCTCTGGGGCATTCAGCGGCGCGCCCTCCTAGATTATGTGGTGTAGGCTATGCGGTACAAGCTGCGTGATGTAAGCTGCGTGGTCGTCGCTGTGCGGTGCAATCCGTGTAGTGTAATGTGCGTGTGTGGTGTGAGCTATGTAGTATGAAGTCGGGCCTAGCCCTCTACAGGGGGGATATTCAAAAAGAGTCCAAAAAAATAGTACGGGGGCTATTTTATTTGTTTTGCATATTTTGAGCATTTTGGGAGTAGTTATTCTTTCTCGTTAAAACTCCCCCTGGGGGGCTATTTTAACTTGTTTTGCATATTTTGAGCATTTTTGGAGTAGTTATTCTTTCTCGTTGGAGATCCCCCTGTATGGGGGACACGCCCGACTTGAGCGTCGTAAAAGCTGCGTGGTGCACCCCACGCGGCCGCCCAGCGCACCGGGGCGCCCACGAGGCGTGCGAAGGGCGGCCGCGGCCGGGCACGGGACGGAGCCTCGGCACGGCGGCGTGCGCGCTGGCTTCGCGGGGAGCTGCTTCGCCCGCCTGGTGTCGACGGCGGCTTCGGTTCCGCCTGGGCTGGCTTTTTCGCCGGCGGCTGGTTTAGGGGAACCCAGATGGTCTGGTACCGGAGATTTTCGGTAGCGATTTCGACGCACCCCGAATTTCGGTAGCGACCGGATCTTCGTTTGAGGGCGTGGAAATAGCGGGTTTCAGAACGCTCTGATACCGGTATTGGGCGCTACATTTCGGTATTTCGGTAGCGACCGATCTCTGCGGAGCGCTACCGGAAATTTTCGGTAGCGGACCATCAGGGAACGAATCGGGAGCCTTGAGACGGGGGTCAATGCAGACGGGGGTCAGCCAGAGCGCTGGATCCTGCAGGATCCTGCGAAGACCCCCTCTGGCTGACCCGGGTCAGGGAGCCGCTTGTGGCCGCGAGACGGCCGCGCCTACTGACTGACCCGGGTTTGCGAAGACCTGCGTTGCAGTTTTTTGTTCCTGCATTGCAGTTTTTTGTTTCCTGCTGACCCGGGTCTGGATTGACCCGGGTCAGAAGATCCCCGAACGAAAAATGACAGTATCCCAGTGCGACCCTACCTAGGAGATGGAACCCCTAGGAAAGCAGCATTAGTAGTAACAGTAACGCTAAGCTAAAGCTAAGCTACAGCTAAGCCACAGCTAAGCTAAAGTTAAGCTAAAGCTAAGCTAAAGCTAAGTTAAAGCTAAGCTAAAGCTAAGCTAAAGCTGAGCAACAGCTAAGCTACAGCTAAGCTCAAGCTAAGCTAAAGCTAAGCTAAAATTAAGCTAAAGCTAAGCTAAACGCTAAGCGAAAAGCTAAGCGAAACGCTAAGCCAAAGCTAAGCTACAGCTAAGCTAAAGCTAAAGCTAAAGCTCCCAGGGGACTGGGGGGAACCGCGGGGCGGGGACCGGGGGAACCGCCCAGGGCGTGTAGCACTGCCCGGCCCCTTTAAGCTGAGAGAGTAAGAACCCTTCTAGGCAGAGCCTAGGTAGGGAATAAACATAAAAACTCGGTGGTCCGCGCAGATTTCTTGGATCTGCGCTGGACCCCCCTCCCTGGCGCGCGGAGCGCGCCAGGGGCGGCTCCAGAGGCGCCGCCAGGGGGCCTCAGCGCCGATCCGAGGAATCCGCGCAGACCTCAGAGTTTTTATGTTTATGCCACTGTTTGTTCCCCTATGGTTTCGTCGGGGCGTGTTTCACCGACGGCTGGTTTCGCCGGCGGCTGGTTTCGCCGGGTGGGACGGGCGGAACCTTACTGGGCGGGTCGGGCGGGCGGGGAATTCCAGCGGGCGGGCTTGCCAGCTTTCGAGCGGGCGAGAGCCTGACGGGTGAGCCGGGTGGGCGGGATTCGAACGGGCGGGTCCGCGGAACGAGCCGGGCAAGCCCAGCGAGCGGGTCGGCGCGAAGCCAGCCAGGCCAGCGAAGCCGGCCGATCCCCGGCAGAAGGATCTGGGGAAAGCAAAATGTACCGAGGCCGCTGCACCATGGACCTCTCCCGGGGTGCATCCAGCGCTGGCGACCAGGGCCTACCAGAAGACCCAAGAAGGCGAAACCCCCGGCGCACGAGGCTGCCTGGGGAGAGGAGGAGGAGGAGGAGGAGGAGGAGGAGGAGGAGGAGGAGGACGCCCACGTAGCGCCTCGGAGGCGCCCACGAAGGGCCCCCTCGGGCGCGGCACACCGAGGCGCCCGCGGGCGCCCAGCGGTGGAGCGGCGCAGGGAGGCGGGGTCGTCTTTTCCGGCATGGGCGCGCAGGCTGCCCGCGTACGGTAGGTCTGCGTCGTGTCGACCAGCGGCGACCCCAGCGCGGGCGTTCGAGGTTGAATGCCGCCGGCGACCCAGAATCGATCGATGTTGAACGATCGGACGTTGCGGCAGCGGCCGATCGTCCAAGGTTGAACGATCCCTGCGGTGTCAAAAACCAACGCTGGGGTCGGCACGACACGAACCTGCCGTAATAAGGTCGTGCGCGAGCGCCCTCGTTGCCAATGAAGCGTGCCGCGGTGGCGGCCCGCGTAGGCCGCCGCGTGAGGTGCCTGTGCCATCTCGCGCAAGACCCGTTTTTGATCGTCGCTCCATGGGGCGCCAGCCGAGAGTAACACGAGTCGGAGTTCCCAAGGGCAGGCACTGCTTGGAGAAGAGGGGCACACCAGTCAGAGAGAACACCGGACCCAGTGTTTCGGGTCAGATCGACGCGGTGGGCGGCAAGGCTAGTCATGTTTCCAGGGCCAGGGTGCATCATGTTCTACGCAGCGGGTTGGACAAGCAGGGGCGCGCAGGGCTTACAACACCCGACGTCTCGGCTGGCGAACAGCTGCCCGCCTACTACGACGCGTGGCAGATGTTCAAAGAGGAGGCTCGTGGGTCTCACGCCAGGGAGGTTGGCAGGTTCAGGCCCGGCGGGGCTGCGCGAGGGCGCAAGTTGTTTGGTCCCAGCCGAGGGCGTGCCGCCTCCGACTGTCTCCCCGGGGCTCGTTTCGATTCCGAGTCGATTCGACCTCGACTTCGATGGCTTCCGATTCCGACTCGATTCGACCTGAGATTCCGATTTGGGCTTCGATGTCTCATTGGAGGCACACTGGCCTGCCGATGTCCGCCGATTCGACGTTTCCCGACTTGGCTGCCGATTCCCGCCGATCCGACTCGTTTCGATCGCCGATCCGACTTATCCGAGTCGGTTCTGGGCTCTCCTGCGTCAGATTTGGGGGGCCAAAAAATATACACCACCACCACCTCCCTCCCCCCCTCCCTCTCGCTGGACAGAGGAGAGAGGAGGAATCGACGTGGTGGTGGTGGTGTATATTCTTTGGGCCCCCAAGATTGTCTCCCTCCCTGGGGCCTGCGCAAGGGGCCAAGGTTGTCCCGCGTAATTACTTGTTTGTCTTGTGCCGTTGTCCAGCACGTGTGTCTTGCGGCTGCGCCGCCACTGCCCTGCCGGCTGGCCTTCGGGTGCCCTCCTGTCAGGCAGACGGTGAGACTGCCGGGTAGATAGCTAGACGGTGGGACCTTGCTGCGAAGTTGATAGATGTGCAGGCGAGTGGCCGAGTAGATGGCCAGATGGTGAGACAGGCGGATAGACAGCGAAACGGTGAGACAGTCGGGGGTGTAAAGCCAGATGGCGAGACAGCCGGGGAGATGGCCAGATGGTGAGCCACAAGATGAGGCGAAGCAGTTCGGTCGGAGGCTGGGGGGCAAGTCCGAAGGAAAAAGCGGAGTGCCCCCCGCCAGGAACCGGATCTCGAGTTCGGCCTCCGCCGTGCGTCAAGGCCCCGTCGGGCCCCAGGTGGCTCCCCACCAGGCCCGCCGCGCGCCCTTTTCGGGCTGTCCCGCCGCTGTCCCGCGGCTGTCCCGCCTGCCCGCGCGTGCCCCGTCGGGTCGCTCCGTTGTGGTCCCGCGGTTGTGTCTCGTCGTCGTGCCACGTCGTGGTTGCCCCGCGGTCGTCCTGTGGTTGTCCCGTGTGTTCATTCCGCGGTCCTTCATCGATTGTTCCGCGGTAGTCTTGCGGTTGTCCCGCGATCGTCTTGTGGTTGTCGTGACTTGTGGTGCCGTTCGGCGTGCCGTGGTTGTTGTGGTTGTCCTGCAGTTGGCCCGTGGTCGTCGTCTGTAGTTGCGTCGTGGCTGTCGCGCGGATGGATCCATGAGTCGATAGCTAGGCGGATAGAGGAAATGGGCGAGTCTGAGCTAGACGACCCAAAAGCGTATTAGTCGGATAGAGAGATTGATGGATACGTAGAGTTTCGGGGTAGGGTAGGGCACCCAGGAGCAACGCCAACCAGGCAGATCGGTAGAAAAGTAAATAGGCACGTACTTAGAGAGATCGGAGGGTGGGCTGTGAGGTCGGAAGGATATTGAGAATCTTTCATTGGCAATCCGCGTTTAGGTTGACAGCTACGAGCGGTGGAAGAGTATGTAGAGTTGGGAGAGGTTGCCAAGCTAGGCAAGTGTGAGAGGAGCATATTTCACCGCTACGAAAGTCTGGCCAAATATCAGCCTTCCCCGTTAGGCGGCCGCGCCCCGGTACAATGTTGTTAACGGAGGATGCGTCTAAATGGAACCATTAGGCGGCGGGGCCCCAGTACAATGTTGTCAGCGTGTTACTCGTTGCTTCGTGTAGCGAAGGCGCGTTCTTTGGATTTCGGACTGGGGAGTTCGAATTCGGCCGAGAAGTTAGGATGTCAGATATGGCGCGAGGGCACCTAGCTTGTCCGTCCCACTCCCCCCTCCTTCCTATTGACGTTGCGGTTCTTACTCTGATCATCCATGCACCTCCCAGTTACTCTTCTTGCATTCTTCCTAGCCCATGATCCCTCCTCCTCGCACTCCCTATGACCTCCAAGAACCCCGCGGAACCTTTAAATCCCCAAATGAAGAAGCAGATGGGTACACGCTGCGTCTGGATTGAGCGCGGTCGCAAATCACCAGTGGTGGAAGCGAGACACAGTGTGAGAATGATGACTGGGTCACGCGGAAGCTGAAGCGAGCGCTGTCGCACGTCACTGGAGGTGGAAGTGAGTAACACGTGTTGAAGTTGATCGAGCGACCCAGTCCGCGAGGCGAGCGCGTGCACACGGCGTCAGAGTTAGAAGCGAGACGCGTGCAAGCAAGTTGGTGTATCCAAGATGTATCTGACGCGAGCACGGTCACGAGTCAAGGGGGTTGGAGTCGTCGATGCTCATTTAGATCAGTTGGTCGTGGCTCGCGATG